ATTTCTGGGTTTCCCAAACCTGAGTGTTCCCACGAATCCGAGATCTGACTCGGAATCTACACCTTTCTTCAGCTAGTGGTGAAAATCTTCGGCATGAACACTTAAAGCTTCAGGCGCTTCAACACTCCAAAAACCCTGAAAACAGCAAAACCGTGTAAACCCCATACCCGGCTTCTTAAGAGCCTTGCACACCTCACCCACTGAGTTCCTGAGTCCCACGCCGGAAACTGCTTGGAAGGAGCACACAATCGTCTAGAATCCTAAGCAGCATGCAACCCTCGACCGAGCCTCAAACGCGTAATCCTCCAAGTCCTAAGCCTGAAGCCCCCCAAATCCATAAGCCCTGACTTCCGCGGCCCGAAAGTATCCCTAAAAGCCTTCAATTTCTAGACCCTTAACCCTAAACCCTAAAACCGCAACCCGATTCCTTTGAAGACGTTCCAAGGAGTTCGGAGATGCGCCGAATTTCAGAGGACGAGCTGCAAGGACTGCGGCTTGGCCCAAGGTTTTGCAGCCTCAGCTGCCCAGTAGAAGGCCTTATTTAAGGGTACTATGGGGTTCAAGATTATAGGGTTGCCTTTAAGGGTACTATGGTGTTCTGTGATCAGGTTCCCTGGAGGGTTACTATGAGGGACACTAGAAAGATTCAATTACAGTACCCGGTTGTCTCCCTGCGCACAGCGCTGGCAAGCTCTCAAAACTCTGGCAGATTCAACGCAGCATGGACTTCCTTTTTCTTTTATATACCCTAGCCGATAACTTCGGATCTACCAATTCTTCCGTTCAACTTGAGATGTAACTGGGGGTGGGCAGAGTATAGAGCTGCTGGCCTCTTAGCCTTCCTGGCGTAGGACGAGACACTACGGTGGGAAAAAGGAGCTTGAGAAAAAAGCAAAAACCCTAAACCCTATATAGTATTCCTGGCTTGACTGAAGGGCTGGCTGCTTAATGTGTGCATACAGTCGGCCAGTGCAGAGTGACAGGATCTGGGAGTTTAGGTGAGATAAGCATAATTCCACCCATTCTAGATTCATGGCTTTGGGATGCCCCGAGCCCTAAATCCTTCGGAGGCATTCATGGCTTTGGGATGCCCCGAGCCCTAAATCCTTCGGAGGCATTACAAAGCCCTAAGCACATCCCAGGTACAGCGAAGCCGTGAAAGCTGCGCAGCGGCTAGCTCAGGCTCTCCAAGGGCGGTCCATGAAGGCGGGGGCATAATGTAGAAGCCTGAAAAAAAAGATTTGTTTTCTTCGTAAAGGCTGTTAAGAGGGCTTTGTAAGAGTTTCGCAATTGAGGGTCATAGCGCTTTCAAGAGTTTGCCGTTATGGGCCGTTATTGGACCCATGCAGAAGACGTTGTAAACCCCAGATGTTAACACTTATGGCGCCCTTCGGAAACCAAGATCTTGGCTGACAGTGGGAAAGTAGACTAATCCTTCCGGACTTGCTCGGACACGCGAACCCGTTCATGTCCCAGATGTTGCAGCCTGCCCAGTCCCAATGTTCGCATGTGCCTTGGGTCTCTGTCCCGACTGAGTCCTCGAATTTCACCTTTGATGTACTCCTGCTCTTCGGGGAGATGAATTGAAACCCAAAACGAATGGGATGCAGGGACGCTGCACCCGCTTCTGCGCGCAGCCGTTGAAGGCTTGGTGGCCACCACGGTGGCCTCCGCACAAGCATTCAGAGATGCTCTCGTTGTGGTTAGGTCTTCGGCTCTCGAACGAATCCAGGTCTAGTGCATTGCAGTGTTCAACATCTGGGACATGGGAAGCTCTACATCCTAGGAGCAGAGTGCTCTTCAGATCTGCAGCAGAGCAGCTGTTTTTGACTCGAATCACTCGAAGGTCGAAGCAGGCACTAATCCCAGTTCTCGCGAGTAGTATGGAACCCACTCGCATTTCCAATTCGTCAGCCAAGGTTCAAGCACTGGATCAAGGACAAAACCACCTGAGGTTTGGCGGAGGAAAAAGAGTCCCTGATTCTGTTTACGATGGTTGTTGCCATCTGTGTACAGTTCTTTGAAGCAATTAGTCAGTTCTGTTGTTGTTGAAACAGCTATCTCAATCGCTCATGCCTCAAGCTTGAAACCATCTTCGACCCAGAGCCCTTCCAGCTGTGGGACAGCCTCGCAAGGCTTTATATCGATATTTTAGTCTTGATCATGTGTACATATACAGATATGTCAGGGTGTATGCGTGTGTGTGTGTGTGTATATATGTATATATGTCCAGGAAGCAAGAGAGAGAGAAAGAGAGAGAGGGAGAGAGTGGCAGAGAGCAGCAACAAAAACCAAGCAACCAGATTGCCGTGGGACATGTTATGAGGGCTGCAACAATGAGAGGAGGGATCTGTCCGTTTCTGGGATGCGTTCTTCGTGGTCTGCTTCTGACGGTGGGTGCGAGGGGGTGTAGACGGCGTCACATACAACACTCCACTTTCCGGTGCTTCCTGAGATTCCCTATTCTGTTAGCACACTTCAGTGTGATCCGTGCCCAGGAGCTGGCAACAGACTCGAACTCAGTAGCTCTTCTGAACAGCCAGACACCCATTGAAACCCAGAGAGGGGGACTGGTTGACCCTTCCATGCTAGGGGATATGCATACAACTTGTTTGGGATCAGAAAAGTAACATTGTGTGCAGCAGGGGCCCTTTTTTTCTGTGAAGCCGTTACATGCACACCGAGAGGCTGAGACGCATGCCGCATTTGCAGATACCATTGCAAATCTGCGAGAGTCCGGACCCCGGCCTGCTGACTCTTTTCAAGTGTTGCGATAAGGGTCACTACAGGAGTTCCTAATTATAAAGATCATTATAAAGGGGTCTAGGGTCGGGGGGGTAATTGGGGTTATGAGCTTGAGATTTCGGGTTTTGGCGTTTATGGTACAGAGCATGGTGCTTTCCGTGTGTTTTGTACATCTGTACACACATAGACACACACAGTCGCGCTTGTGTATAGGTTTGCGTACATTGCAAACTCTCGCACAAGAAGCCCCAGACCCCGTGGATAGCGTTGTTTGGATTGAGAGCATGCACCAAAAATTCAGTTTATTACCTCTACCCTACGCAAAGTGGTGGCCTGAAGGTCGTGGAATGGACGCACAGCCGCGTTGGTCGGCAAGTGGTCCGGCACCAAGCTTTCCGAGCCGCTGCCCTCCCAAATAAAGCCGGAAACCGCACACCCTGGGAAAAAATGGGCCCCTGAGCTAATCAACCCGACAGGAATGTGATGTGCTGCATGGCCGTGGTTGGATGAATTAGGAATTAAAGTGTTGTGAGTTGGAGTTTGGAGTGTGACGAATCTGCCTGCTCTTAACGCGCTGTCACCGTAATATAGGGGCCTAAATCATTATCTATACTATTTTTGGGGCTCCTTATTATACTTATACTATAAAGGAGCCTTAAACCCTATTCTTATTATGAAGGCTCCTATATTACCAGGAACCTCGCCAGGCTTGTCCCAGTTGTGAGTGCTGAAACCCTAAACCCTCAACCGCAAAGCTAGAACCCCCCCTAATGTAGGGGCCTAAATAATTACCAGTACTATTTTTTGGGGGATTCTTTATTGTAATCATAGTACAATGGGCCCCAAAACCCAATTATAATTATTAAGGCCCCTAAACTCTAGACCCTTATAGTAGCCCTTATAGAACCCTTTAAGGATCCCTTTAAAAGGAACCCCCCGAACGCCCTAGTCTCATTCTTGAGGCCCCTATATTAAGCCACAGTTCAAGTCTTGGCGCTCCAAGGCCAGAGGGCGTGCCTCAGGCCGTGAGCTGGCTCTTCTTATAAATCCCATATGGGAGTTTCCGAAAATTAGGGTACCTTATTTTGGGGTCCTTATAATAAGGATCCTATTATTTAGGGTACTATATTAGGGTCCCCTATTTTCGGAAACCCCCATATAGAACCCATAGATCCCTTTAAAGGCCCTCTTAGATTCCTTATAGACCCATTAGATATGACTTAGGATATTGCTAGCACTACCAGGGTTCAGGGTTTAGGGAATTTGGGCTTCGGGTTTAGGATTCCGGGTTTAGGGTTCAGGGTTTAGTTTAGGGAAGCTTAGGTTTCGGGCGTTTGGGGTTTTGGGTTAAGTTTCTGTGGATTATATGAGGTTTAGGATTTAGGGTCTAGGGTTGCGACTGCATCTGCTACCACTACCACTACCACTACGGCGGCGTCGACGACTGGCACTATTACCATGTTCTCTGCCACTGGACGTTGAGGATTTATAGGCAGCTGCAGCAACTGTTGTAGAGTCTGCTTCTCGTCTGTAAGTTCGGAACACTCGTGCGTAAGAATTCAGGGTTCCCAATTACGTAAGGAACCTAGCATGTCAATCCGAGTTTTCATCAATATGAGCTCTGCGTCCTTCCACCGCCCTATATGACAGGAGAGTTTGAAAACCGCTTTACGTGCAAAACTTGTGGCGATAGGAACGGAGGTCCTCTAAGGGCCTGTCACAGGACAGTGTTTAGCTAGGGCAATCGGCTGGTGTGCGAGAATTGCACTGTCGTTGCAGCTCCCGCATCATCTTAAGCCTGAGCACTGAACTGGTTTCTTGAGCGGGCGTGGATTTCAGATCCACAGCTGATTACAGTGAGCCTGCATGCATGGCACGGGTGCATTCACAACAAAACAAAGTAGTCGACACATGTTATCTGTGGTGGCTTGCACGTGAGAGTTGGTGATTGTTGCTGGCCTTGGATCACGATGCTATTCTTAATCCTGCTGTGTTGGCGAACGGCATTCCGATGTAAAACAATGGCTGTGAATATGGCAGCAATGATGAAGGGTGAAGTTGCGGACAATGAGCAGGATGATGCCGCCTCAGTGAGGTTTGTAGGGATGTATAATGACGATATGGCTGAGGGCTGTTTGCCATCATCAAGATGGCAACGACTGTTCTGATGTCGACGTTGCTGATGATGAGCCCCTGAACCCTGAACCCCATACCTAAACAGGATAATGACGAGGTTGTTCGCACCCGAAGTCCAGGCCGTGCTCGATCTCATCTCACGGGGTGTGAAGCGGAAGGCGCTGCTGCCGAACCCTTTTTTGGGGTTACAAAGTTTAAGTAAAGGTTTCGGGCTTAAGGGGTTTAGATAAACGCGTAGGCTTCACCCCATAAATCTTAAATTTTGTGAAAGCCCCAGGAGCCACATTAGCCTTCAGATCAATCAGCCCCCCAAAAGCCCCTATCCTGGTGTCGACGTGCTTGGGTCGTTAGCGGCTTCTGAGTTAAAGAGTTTGCTATGAAGGATCTTATAGGAGGCTTTTAGGAGCTGTGCTGCTTTTGGGTTTAGGGCCATAAGTTTTAGGTTTTGGGTGGTTCCTGATCCCGAAGCATCCTAGGTACCTCGAGTTGTGCAAGTAACTGGGTCTTTACGATTTAATTGTTGATAAAGGGTTTTAAGGTTTTCTATATAGTTATACGGTGGGTGTAACTCGTGATCCGCTGCATAATGCGGAGAAAACATTGTGTTCCTTCAAAAATTTAGTAAGCCCAAAGCCCGAAGTTTTGGATACAATCTATGTTTTAAGGGGTTGGGGGTTTACGAGTTTACGGTTGAGTGTGCAGGGTTGAGGGGTTTACTCCAGCGGCTATAGCGGTTTAGACTTGGCATTTTCAGAAAATTCGAAACACGGCCGTGGTGCTGCCTGTAGTACACAGGCCCTAAGCTCACTATTGTACATTTCGTTTCTTCTTTGGCCGTGCCGAGCCCTGATTTGCCAAATCACTATTCACACGGTACACGAGAATTCATCCGAGTCTTTTACCGGAATCGGCGGGGCAACCACAGCTACTTTGAATCGAGCCGTAGATATTGTGAGACTACACTACGATGTGCTAGAGATAAACTATTCTATACAGTTCCGTGCAATTAGACTTCGTTTGTTCAGTTCAGCTTAATGCATCCGTAGACAAACGGATACACACACACGTACATATATATATATATATACACATATACACACTCTCTCTCTACATATATATATATATATATATATGTATATTGATTGTATATATATATATATATATGTATATATGCACGTAACACTTACTTCTTGTCCATAGGTAATTAATGTTCAGGCATTTAGAACGCATTTCAGAATGTGTGTATACATGCATGCGAACCTACAACAGACCGACATACCTACATATATCCCTTTACACACATACAGATGAACATACACCCGTATGAATATACATGCGCTGTGCTGTGTCACTCTCTCCTCCAGCCGGCCAGCTCATACAGGTCGCGGCTTCCATCGCCGTTCATCCGCCAAAGCACCTCGGACCGTTTAGTCTCGAGCAACACACGGCGGGAGAAGAAGAGCTTAGGAAGCCATTTCTCAGTATGAGGGGTCATTAGACTATGTCTATGTAGGAATGTAAGGTTACACGAGGACTGAGACCTAATTTAGGGGGGGGGTCGCCTTCTCCTTTGGTCCCGAGCGCGAGAACTGCGGCAGGAAATTCGGTTTGCTCATTTCGTGCAGAAACAGGTCTGGACGTTGTCCGTTGGTGGGTGTGATGCGAAGGAACACAGATATGAAGGTCAATCCTGTGCCTCGCTAGCTCAACGATCGGGACATTGAGCAGGTTTCCAATGCACTAGAGTCATTAGAGTGTGGAAACCGGAACCTCAAACATCGTATCTATCCTGTCATGTCGCTATGCTGCAGCCACCTGGCAGAGGTTTAGGATGTCTGGATTATCTGGACAGCGCCTGCGCTCCTACTATCTGCAGACGCGCTCACGGCCGGCACCTGTAGTACAGGAACCCACGCCAGGTACTATGCCTTGGTGAGCTTTCTCATGGAGTGGATGCGCTGTCCGGCAGCTTTCGAGGCCTTGAGTTGCATAGGACAGCTTTGCTTGTTTGGGTGCTGCGAAATGCCGAGAACCTGTGCTTCTGCTGCACCTGGAAGACCCACTGAGGGACCCCTACTTCTGCTCCTACCCCTGCTCCTACTATTGCCTCCACTAACTACTACTACTACTACTACTACTACTAATACGAAATACTAATACTGATACTAGTACTACTGCAGCTGGATTTGAGCCTGGTTTCAAACTGCTATCACTCCTCCTCTCGCTGCTGCTGCTTCTAGTTCTTCTCCTGCCCTTATACTCCTACTCCTCCGCCTCCTCCTGCTCCTGCTCCTACTACGGCGACGACGACTACTACTGCTAATGACACACGCGTTTCTATGCAAACCCTCAAACTTATCAGGCGATGAGCATCTACGTGGTCTTCCAATTTAAGCAGGACTGGGGTTTAGTGTTTTTTCGATCTGGGATTTTTTCAGGCTAAGTTGCAAAAAAGGTCGGCGGAGTTTACGCTGAAGGGTTCAGGGCTTTGGGGTTTGTAAGAGTTTTGTCCCGGCTATCGAATTGTATCAGCTCCAGATTAATCTTCTAGGTAGTAGTCTAGCTTTTATGGCTTGGTCAAGTGCTAAACGACGTAGCCACGCAGGCCACCATCCTCAAGTCTTCACTGACTTCTAGGGCCGCTCCTTTGGGGCCAGGTTCTTTGTGGCTCGAAGGATACACGCCGAGTACTTGCACAAGTGGATGCCACACCTTAGACCACGAAAGAGGGGCCCGGGCTTGAGCAGGACTGCACCACGTTGCAGTGTCTATGAGTCTATGGGGTTTAGGGTCCAGAGCTGATTCACCATAATCCCTAAACCCTGAACCCAAAACCCTAAACCTGAGCGAGCCTCGTGCGGAGAAAAGGGGGGCTACCGCGCTTGACTAAACCTTCCCTGCAAGGACTTAAAGCTTTTCAGGGAGGCGCTCGACTGCGTTGGCCATGCCCTCAGTCCACACAACCGTACCTGCTGCCAGACCCCCATTCTGCATAATGTTACATAAGTCAGATCTTTTGGTATTATGAGTTGTACAGGTTTGTATAGATAGATAGATGGCAGCTGCGTACCAGCTCTGAGCCAAGACGTGACTTCATCCGTTCGTGCGTTCGCGATTTGGCACATGCTTCTCCAGGTCAGAAGTGCAATGCTCTGCCAAAATGCAGTCCAACAACTAAAATATAGGTCTGAACATTCATTACGATTGCAGAACCCATTAGTTTCCCGGTATAGTTATGCTCCAAAACATCCCAAAGCGGCACACACCTTATTCTAATTATTGTACAAGGCCCTTGGAGTACGCCGTAGACGACGAATAGACGAGACCGCACTCCGCTCCAAAGTGTCCAGGCTACTGGCTACTATATCTTGACAGTTCTCAAAGCGTCGTCTGAGATACCAGCGTACTATCCGGAACTGTGTGCTATTCATCAACATGCTTACGACAAGTTCGGACTAGTGTGCTTTTTCAGTCAAGTTCCTCAGTCACATGCTCAGAAGCTGGAAGCACTGTCACGAGTACAGTGCTAGTTGGTGGACGAGTGGCTAACTACTAGGCGAGAGAGAGAGAAGAAAACAATAAGTGCAAGAGAGAGAGAGAGAGGGAGGGTGTAGGAGCTCCGGCTTAGGGGCTTGCACGGGGTTTCAGGTTTGCCTAGTAACGTAGCAGGAGCACAATGCCCCCATCCCTTAATCGAGACACTTGCCAATCTCCTTAAGCTGACATGAAACGAAAATGCACGAATAAGTCCGTTGAACCCCCTAAACCACAGAGGCCCCGACCGAAACCCTAAACCCTAAACCCTAAACCCTAAACCCTAAACCCTGCAGCCCCTGACACTCCGGAACTCTGGGTGCCCATCATTGCCACAGAGCCGAAGAAGGGCTGGCCGGGTGCCTCAGAACAGTTCAGGGCTTTTAAGGATCTCGGAATCTTAGATTCCGAATTTAAGAACAGTGCTTTTAAGGGATCTCGGGATTAAGATTCCGAGATTAAGGCCCTGAGGGTCTTTCAGTCTTGGCTCTTGGTTTTGATTATGCATTTCCTTGTCTATGGCTTTAGGGGTTGGGTTTCTTTTGGAATCACGTTTGAGTTGCGACTCTGGAGTTTTCGGATTCAGGGTTTTGGCATCCTGAGGCTTCTAGGGGTTCCAATCTTCGGGCATGTGGTTTACGATTTCAGAATTGTGTGTTGTTGGTTGCTAAGGCTTGGAGCTTCGGTTCAGGCGTCTCGGTCTCACAGATTCAGGGTAAAGGGTGTCTTAGGGCATTTACGTTTAAGTACTTGGGCCAGGCTCCGGGTGTATGCATCCTTTCCGGGGTTTGCAGTGCTTTGTAAACCTCTGCGCGTTTAGGCGCAGTTTTTGCTCGGAGATTTTGGAATTCCGGGTTCGGGTCACCACCACATTTCAGCCCTGAGGCCCGCAGACACCGTTCCAGGGCAAACAGGGTTCGTAAAGTGCTCTATAAGTGAGGTTATACGTAGCTGTACAGCACAGAAAACCTAACCGTGTTTTCTAACTTTAGCTACACAATCATGAGAACGCGCCCGAGAAGTTTGCTGAGGTTGTGTTGGGGCTTCAGGTACCTCAAACTATAGGTGCTGCAGGTAGCCCTTACTGCCCTTACTCTCAGTCCTCAACCCTAGCCCAATCAATATAGGGGCCTAAAGAATTACCTATACTATTTTGTGAGCCCCTTATTATAGTTATAGTATAATATACCCCAAAGCCCTTATTATAATTTGTAAGGCCCCTACATAAACCCTAACCCTAACCCTAAACCCAAAAGCTCCATTCGAATTATGAAAGCCCCCTACATTTTTTCATGGAAGCACCTTCCGAGGATGAAGGCGGTGGGCCTCGGAAACCAGCACGGGCCTCAGGCAGTGGGGTTGTTTTTTTTCGTGGTTTGGGAGTGGGTTTAGGGTTTCGGGCTTCGGGAAGGTATGTGTATGTGGGGGTGTTTAGATATTTAGGGTTCATGGCTGGCGTGCTTATGTTGGTGTTGGACAGTCATCGCCGTCTTTTAGTCAGCGGTTTGCTTCTGCAGGTTGTGGCTGCGCCGCCAAGAGTTTCTTAGCATCGTCATGCCTGTGTCAGCCGTGCTCGTGGATGCTAGCAAAGCACAGCTTCGAACGGAGCGTCCTAAGTTATCTTACATGACTGGGTTGTGAGTGTAAGCTGAAAGGCAGGCTTTACTAAGTTACTAAGCTAAGCCCTGTGGCGTTGGCTGCACAGTTCACCTCCAACCACGACAGGCATTGTAACTGGGGAGGGCTAGGTCTAGGTTCTCTGTATCGGAGCTTTGCTTTTGTGCAGGCGTACGGTGAAGCATGAGTCTGGCACTGTTCTCCTTCCGAACGGCGTTCTGAGTCACTGAGACAGGTCAGCTGCGGATCCTAGTGTGCCGATGGGCTTCATTCGGTTAGCATCGGCACTGATGCTGCAGACAGCAAGCACCAAGAACCTACCGCTGGCACGTCGTGCATCAGGACGTCCCACCTTATTCCCGACGAAACACACAAGCACCCATGTGATGCGCCCTGAGCAGGACAACATGTGTGGGACTAAGCCACGCTCGCACCAGAACAGAACGAATTCTACCTGACCGACGCCATTGCACAAGCCTACTGTACACAATGTTGATGATGGTATCGGTGACAACAGATGTAAATTGCAATGCTTGTTGTTATTCATAGTTTTGCTCTTCTGATGATATAAGCACGCTACTATTGCTGCTACTTCTCTCTTTGTTGTTCTTCGTACTTGTACTTTGGGCCTGGTCTTCATTCATAGAGGGGTGACATGACCGATCCTGGCTAGAGATATTCTCTAATTGTGCTGCGTTGGGTGGCAGCACGAGGATCGGACTATTGATGCGTGAGGAACTGATGGTGTGCAGTTTATATACGTGCGCATGCATATTGCGTCTGCGGACTCATGCGCACCTGTTTCGCTCAAAGCCATATGTACATATCAAAGCAAGCGTGTGTACATACATACATATATATATATATATGCTTATTCATATATATATATATATACATACGTTCAGTCATTTATCTATCGGTGTACACTTACGGCGACAGCACGAAATCGGCGTGTTAGTGCGGCACCTGAGGTTCATCGCGGCCTTCAAGAAGTATTGGGGTGCGCACCCGAGCTTGAGAGTGCTTCAGCTGAGCAGTCAGGATCCGGGGTAGTTGGTCGATACTGAGCCATGCTCCAGCACGAAAACCGCTACGACGAAGCTCCAGTGCTGTCTGTCCTACACTACCATTCCTTAGCCTTCTATGATGTACTTGTAATAGTAGAACGTGTGTTACGCCTTAACGCCCTATTCTAGTTCAAAAGGCCCCTGTATTGCCCTAAATCCCAGAATGCCAAAGCCCACACAACAACTCTTTAGGGTTTCGGGATAATGCCAGTTGCACACTGCCATTTGGCTCCTGGTTCTGTGCAGGTTGGGGCCTGGACTCTTTATGTTTTTCAGCCCAAGCACATGCCGTGTTCTAGCCGGGAGCAGAAAGCAAATCAGGCAAGAGATGGGAAAGTCAGAGTTCTGTGTATTTACGGGTCCAAGTGTTGGCTCGACATCTCCAACGGGTTGAATCAGGTTTGGCGGAGATTTGAGTTTTCGGCTGTAGACCCGCGAACGTCTTGGAGCAATGGACGGTGCGCCAGTGCCTTTGGACGGAAGTGAGGCCATTGGTTTATGATCTAGGGCTCGGGTAGTCTCATGTCTAATCATGTCTACCTACTTGCACAGTCACAGAAACTCGTCGCTTTGCTTGAAGAACGTCATGGTTGTTCCTGCAACTTGCTTCCATCATCATTGCAACATCGAGCATTGCATCAACACTTCCGCCGCCACTACCAGGTATCATCAACACCATCGTCTTGAGAAATGTAAACATCGCAAGTTTCTCATTTTACCGGTACCCCTGTGCAGATTGTTACCTTCGGCTTCCCCATTATCGCCATCATAGTGGACATTCGGTTAAATACCAGCACCCACGTTAATGTCATCATGCTCACCATGTTACCGACAAGCCTGTTGCAGATCGTTTGTTACCTCAGGTTTCCCCAGCATCACCATCATTGTGGAAACCCAAGCTAACAACACGATCCATCGCGACATGACCGTGCTCATCATCTCTGGGTCCTTGTTGGCTAAAACTGTACATTTCTGTTAGAATGGAACCCAATGAGGATTATAACTGATCAGGTTTAATATAGCCCCAACAGGGAACCAGATCTCGCAGTCGTTGTCACCATCACCGTAATCAGAGGCATGATCCTCGAAGTCACAATCCTCCTGGTCAGCGTGGTTAGCATGACGCTCACGAATTCGCACGTTCCTTCTTAGTCACAGTCGGCATTGCAATAGTTGCCACCGGCAGCAGCAACACCATTATCAACACAAGTGTAACATTAGCATCATCACCATCATCAGCATCATCATCAGCAGCAGCAACTTGGCAACAACAAGTCAGCGTCACCTCCACCATCCGCATCATCGTCAGCACGAACGTCGTCGGCATCATTTGTGTGCTGGAAGCCTTTTCGGACTGCTAACTTTGAGGTGGAGAACGCCTCATAACGCATTTTGCAGTTAGCAATGCCCCTAGAGGCACCCTGACCCCCAATGCCTGAATATCGTGGAACCGCTTGCTAATTACCGAAATTTACTTCCGTACATTGTCGAATTAAGGTGCAGCGTGTAGGGTTTATGGTTCAACGTTACATGAGACAACGGCATTGATGCAATTTCACCTTTCCAACCAGGCTCAAATTGACAGGCATACTTTAGGCAGCGTTGTCTATTGTCTGCAGAAACGTGTGTCGCTGGCTAATTGAATCCAGACACGAATGTGACACTGGAAAGCGGCATCTTGAGGTATGGCATGTCGACTGATCGCCAGCTTTCTAGAAGACAGAATGTGAGTCCACTCTCCTCAGCTTCTTTTGAGGGCAGCTGCGTCGGATTCTGTATATAGTGTCCAATGCTAAAGCTCAGCCTTCAGAAGATGCTGATGGCTTAACACGCTGTTTAGCTCTGCTTTCAACATCGGTGGTCAGGCTCCAAAACAGGGCACAACCACTTTGTTTCGTTAGAAGTTCTTCAAGAAGCTCTTTCGCGTTTGTTTTATCTGCAGAGGCATTTGTCACCTACGGTCGTGGTCTCCTGCGCCTGGGCGTGATAATTGCAAGTCTGGATCGCCAGGAGTCGGGGTCGATGCTGCTTAGGGCTTATAGGGCTCTATGCTCTGGCTTCTCGGGATGGTTTTACCTGTGAGAAGTTGCTGGTAGCTTCCTACGAGTGGTGTCTGTGAGAGGTTGTCTAAGCACTTTTCCGGAATCTGTCACCTCGGTAACTGACCTGACATTGAAGATGCTATCGACGCCCTTGCCATTTAGCTGATAAAGCTAAGCCATGCAATGCAGCGAACGCATTAGACCCATCACAGCTGTTAGGACTCTCTCCTTAGTATTAAACCTATCTGAACAACCAGATCGAAGCAACAGCCCTACCAACCCGGGCACAGGAAGGTCTTCAATGCCGCGAAGAACTTCGGCTTCATCTCCCCAGTATTCAAAGGCTGGAAGCCCTGTTTCTTTACGTTGCGTTAAATTTCTTAGCATCACATCGCATTGCATGTGTAAACTATACCCAACACCACATCTAACGATTTCAGGTTATAACATGTACACATACGTACTTACATACATACGTACAAACCTACATACATACAGACATACGGACATGCATACCTGCATGCGTGCAGGCATGCACACAGACCTATGTACGTACATACAGATAAAAATAAAAACACATGCGCATACATCCCGTGCATACTTGAACACGTTCATGCGTGCCGACGTATACACACAGTTTGTACACTTTGTGTGTGTCTATATATACATATTATACACATTTGTCACAACAACTTTATAACTGCACATATATATATATATATATAGATATATATATATATAGAGAGAGAGAGAGCGATAGACAGTAGCAGTAGAATAGTCGAATACGGATCTAGGGCTCAGACATATCTATATATATATATATGTACATATATATGCATACATATATATATATACATACATATATACATATATATATATACACACACGCGCATATATATATATATATATATATATACACATGCTTGCCGCCAGCTGCAGGTGCCGCGGATGTCGAAGGCCCGCCTCTTCCGCGATCGGTAGACGAGGGCATCTGGCCGCCAGTCGGCAAGGAAGACCGCCGAGTTTGGGGCTGTCTTTGCTCTTTAGGGTTTGTAGGGATAATTTACCCCAACCCCCCAGGTACCTACTATATAGGGTACCTGAGCCCCTAGGGCCCCATATAGTAGGCACCTGGGAGGTTAGGGTTAGTTTTCTTTTAGGATTTGGAGATTTAGAGGGCTTCAGGGTTCAGGTCTAGATATTGGGATTCAGGGTTTTCGGGTTTAGCGCATTCGGGTTTAGGGTATTGGGCTTCAGGGTTTTAAGGATTGTTGGCCTTCAATTTCCGTGGTGCAAACTTGCTGTCGGGCTGAGCTTCTAGGGTTTCTGACAGTGTATGACTTGGTATTCAGGGCTGGGTTTTAGGGTTTAGGGTTCAGGGCTAAGGTTTTAGGGTTGAGGTTTCAGCAACTAGCTCAACGTAATTGTCCATGGAGCTGCGGAGCCGAGGACATACGAATAGCGCACGACCCTAAACCCTAAGCCCTTCGAAGCAGTGGGGCAAGATCGCGCTGGTGTAACAGCGAGGTGCCGGAACTGGACGTCTCCAAACTTCAACCATCCTCTTCCATGCCTCTGATTAGACACTGGAACTCATGAAGCCTTGCCAGCAGTGTCCGAACTTTGGACGGGCCCAAAGCTCAGTCGTAAATCTGCAAAAAATCTGGAGAGAAGTTCCCGCGCCCCGAACCGTGAACCCTTGGCCCTACAGCCCAAGCCCGAAACGTATGCCCAAATCCCAACACTGAGGTTCTTTGGGAACCATTCTCTCCCCTACCGTGCCATCCCGGGTGTTGAGCTGACTTTCGAGATTTGGGAGAATGCCTCTGGCAAAGCACAAGCCAGGCTGCTGGGAACAGTTGGGGTCGTTTGGACTTCCATGAGCAGCCGTTACTGTAGGGGTGCTAGAAGTTCTATAGCTTGAGGGCTTTCGTCTTCACGAGTCAGGGGCTGGGAGGAGGGGCATTTAGGGTTTTCAGGTTTAAAGTTCAGCGTTTGTGGGTAGCGGTTGGTAGAGCCCCGTTTCCGTTGGCTTTTTCCTTGTAATAGGGAACAGATTTGCTATGCTGTGCTTCCAAATTCCTTTAGTCAAGGTCCCCGCCCCCAGAAAAGACCACCTCGTGGTGACCATGGTCATACTGATGCGGCTCATGGCGACGATGATGATGATGATGATGACCATGGTGATGAGAATGGTTGGTGATGAGGATGATGGTGATTATGATGATGGTGATGGTGATGATGATGGTGATGACGATGATGATGATGATGATGATGTTCATGTTGAACGTGATGCAGATAACCCGGATAGTTATGCAGTTATGACAAGCATGATGGTCATGTTCATGTTGATGATGACCAGGATCATGACACTGATTCGCTTTGAATACACGAAAGGAAGATGGTGCCATATTTATTGTTTTGACAATCTTCGAGCGCACGCGTCGTGAACTGCACTGAGTCTTGAACCCGTGATGGCATCCATGTTCGCAGAGCACGCGCGAGCATCTACCGGGTGAGTTACTGTGCACAACCCACTTTGCAGACAGCATCTTAGTCCGTACATTCCACAGCACACTTGCCTTAGCTATGTTTTTCTTTGGCACGGCCGCTCTTCTCGCATTGTCTATAAAGCCAGCCTTATCTGCCCGTCTTGCCTTGTTGCTTCGTTTTGGTTGAGTTGGGTTGTGGTATCTTAGCCAGGGTCCTTGCGCAGGAACAGAAATAATTTGGTTTCGGAACGATGATGGTCTTTAGGTAGGTCCCCCGCTGGAGGGGCATTTTGGGTACAATGCAAGAATAGACAATTCCAGTGCATGTGGGTAGTTCTCTAAATTAGACTTCCTTATTGGTTCCCCCAGATAGCACGGCACCCTGACAAAAAGGACCCG